TGGGATTACAGGCATGGGCCACTGTGCCTGGCCCAGGAACTGGTCTTTGAATCCAGGTCTAAAGGCTGAGCTCATGCTCTCTGCCTTGCCCCCGAAGCTGTCCCCATAGAGGCTCTGGTAGATCAGGGGCTAGGGCAAGTCTGGGGAGGGGGCCTCACCTCCCTCCCAGCCCCGGGAGGGAGTGTTGGGCCCTCTCACCCCCTCCTAAAGCAGTTCCATTGCTCCCTTTGACCTTCAAAGTTGGCATCTGCTTGCAGGAATCTGTCTCTCTCCTCCTGGAATTCAGCCTCCAGATGTCAGATCTGAGGCGGTGGCGGCAGCATATGGCTCCCCTCAGAGTGAATCAGCCACATTCCAAAGGTGCACACACAGACGCCACACCCTCAGCAGCCTGGCTGCAGACTTCCTCCCGGCCCCAGCCCCGCACCCGCCCCAGCCCCCACCTCTTCCCAGCCAGACCCGACTTCGGGCTTCCTTTCCAGAGACTTTCTCCTGGAACTGGAACGGAGAGAGAGAAAGCCACTGGGGCTGGAGACACCCTGAGCAGCCCTGCCCTGCTCACTCGCTCCCAACCGCTCACAGCTGTTATCAATATATCTACGGTCCATCCATTCGACAGGTGTGCACTGAGCACCTATTATGTGCCAGACAAGATACACACAAGCCCCTAACCTCATGGAACTCAGCTGGGCAAGAGCCAAACAAAATCAGGTCCAGAGGCAGAAAAGAATTCCAAGTGTGGGAAGGGCTATAAAAGTAAGAAACAGGCCGGGCGCAGTGGCTCATGCCTGTAATCCCAGCATTTTGGGAGGCTGAGGCTGGCAGATCACGAGGTCAGAAGATGGAGACCACCCTGGCCAACATGGTGAAACCCCGTCTCTACTAAAAACACAAAAATTAGCTGGGTGTGGTGGTGTGCGCCTGTAATCCCAGCTACTCTGGAGGCTGAGGCAGGAGAATCGCTTGAACCCAAGAGGCGGCGATTGTAGTGAGTCGAGATCACGCCACTGCACTCCAGCCTGGCAACGGAACAAGACTTCGTTTCAAAAAAAGGAAGAAACAAGGGCTCAGATATGTGACAAAGTGACAGAGGGAGAGTTATGGGGTGGGGGAGGCTTCTCTTGGGGTAACTTATAACCTGAGACCTGAAGGATGAATAGAAACCTCCTCTATCGGGTGGTCGTGGGTGTGCACACCTGTAATCCCCGAGCTCTGGGAGGCCCAGGCAGGAGGATTGCTTGAGTCCAGGAGTTCAAGACCAGCCTGGGCAATATAGCAAGATCCCATCTCTACTAAATTAAAAAAATATTTTTTTAAAGAAATCTCCTCTATCCCATCACTTCTGTAATCGTTTCACCAGAATTACAGAAATATAACCCAAAAATATTTTCCCCAGTCAGAAAGTTCTTGGGTCCTCTTCTCCTGCCTTCTTTTGTCACTGAAGCCAGGAATCTGGCTAATTTTTTTTTATAAGACCTTTAGTGAGGCTGGACGTGGTGGCTCACGCCTGTAATCCCAACACTTTGGGAGGCCGAGGCGGGCAGATCATGAGGTCAGGAGATCGAGACCATCCTGGCTAACACGGTGAAACCCCGTCTCTACTAAAAATACAAAAAATTAGCTGGGCGTGGTTGCGGGCACCTGTAGTCCCAGCGACTTGGGAGGCTGAGGCAGGAGAATGGCATGAACCCGGAGGTGGAGCTTGCAGTGAGCCAAGATCGCGCCACTGCACTCCAGCCTGGATGACAGAGCGAGACTCCATCTCAAAAAAAAAAAAAAAAGGAAAAAAAGACCTTTAGTGACATATAATCCATATAATTCACCCCTTTACACCACTTTACAATTACCCCACAGTAGATGATTCAGTTGTTTTTAAATATTCACAGATTTGTGCATCCATAACCACAATTTTGGAATACTTTCTTTTTGTTTTTTTTTTGAGACGGAGTCTCACTCTGTCACCCAGGCTGGAGTGCAGTGGCACGATCTCAGCTCACTGCAACCTCTGTCTCCTGGATTCAAGCGATTCTCCCGCCTCAGCCTCCCAAGTAGCTGGGACTATAGGTGAGCACCACCACGCCCGGCTAATTTTTTGTACTTTTAGTAGAGACAGGGTTTCACCATGTTAGCCAGGCTGGTCTCAAACCCCTGACAGCAAGTGATCCACCTGCCTTGGCCTCCCAAAAGTGCTTGGGTTACAGGCAAGAGCCACTGTGCCTGACCAATTTTGGAATATTTTCATTACCCCAAAAAGAAACTCCATTTAGCGTCATTCCCCAATGCTGGGTCATCACTCCCAACCGCAGGCAACCCCTAAGCTACTCTCTTTTGGGGCCGGGCGCGGTGGCTCAAGCCTGTAATCCCAGCACTTTGGGAGGCTGAGATGGGCGGATCACGAGGTCAGGAGATCGAGACCATCCTGGCTAACCCAGTGAAACCCCGTCTCTACTAGAAAAATACAAAAAACTAGCCGGGCGAGGTGGCAGGTGCCTGTAGTCCCAGCTACTTGGGAGGCTGAGGCAGGAGAATGGCGTAAACCCGGGAGGTGGAGCTTGCAGTGAGCTGAGATCCGGCCACTGCACTCCAGCCTGGGTGACAAAGTGAGACTCCGCCTCAAAAAAAAAAAAAAAGCTACTCTCTTTTATCTTTTTATTTATTTTTAGAGACAGGGTCTCACTGTGTTGCCCAGGCTGGAGTTTAGTGGTTTGATCATAGCTCACTGTAGCCTCTACCTCTTAGGGTCAAGCTATCCTCCCCTCTCAGTCTCCAGAAGAGCTGGGACTACAGGTGGGTGCCACCACACTCAGCTAATTTTATTTTATTTTATTTTTAGATAGGGGTTCTCACTCTGTTGCTCAGGTTGGTCTTGAACTCCTGGTCTCAAGTGATCCTCCTGCCCTAGCTTTCCAAACTGCTTGTGCCTGTAGCTGTGAGCCACTGCCTCCAGCCCTTAATCTACTTCCTGTCTCTATGGATTTGCTTACTCTGGAAATTTCATATGAACAGAAACACAATATGCAGTCCTGTGTGTCTGGCTTGTCACTGGGCATAATGCTTTCATGGGTCATCCATGTGTAGTACGTATTGGTGCTTCGTTTCCATTTTTTTTTTTTGAGATGGAGTCTCGCTCTGTCACCCAGGTTGGAGTGCAGTGGCCTCTGCCTCCCGGGTTCAAGCAATTCTCCTGCCTCAGCCTCCCAGGTAGCTGGGTCTAGAGGCATGTGCCATCACGCCTGGCTAATTTTTTTAGAGACAAGGTTTCACCGTTCTTATTGGCCAGGATGGTCTCAATCTTCTGACCTCGTGATCTGCTGGCCTCCCAAAGTGCTGGGATTACAGGCGTGAGCCACCACGCCCGGCCGCTTCGTTCCTTTTTATGGCTGAATCATAATCTGCTGTTTGGAGACATCACGGTTGATTTATCCGTTCATCAGGTGATGGATACATGAGTTGTTTCCACTTTTTGGCTCTTACGAATAACGCTGCTCTGAACATTCCCATGCAAATTTTTGTGCAGATATGTTTCCATTCCTCTTGGATATACACGGTATATACCTAGGAGGGGCACTGCTGCGTCATATGGTCACCCCATGTTTAACTTTTTTGTTGTTTTTGAGATACAGTCTCACTCTGTCGCCCTGGCTGGAGTGCAGAGGCCTGATTTCAGCTCACTGCAACCTCCGCTTCCCAGATTCAAAGGATCCTCCTGCCTCAGCCTCCTGAGTAGCTGGGACTACAGGCGCCCACTACCACACCCAGCTAATTGTTTTGTGTTTTTTTTTGAGATGGAGTCTCGCTCTGTCACCCAGGCTGGAGTGCAGTGGCCGGATCTCTGCTCACTGCAAGCTCCACCTCCCGGGTTTACGCCATTCTCCTGCCTCAGCCTCCCGAGTAGCTGGACTACAGGCGCCGCCACCTTGCCCAGCTAGTTTTTTGTATTTTTAGTAGAGACGGGGTTTCACCATGTCCAGCTAGTTTTTTGTATTTTTAGTAGAGACGGGGTTTCAACATATTAGCCAGGATGGTCTCAATCTCCTGATCTCGGGATCTGCCCGTCTCAGCCTCCCAAAGTGCTGGGATTACAGGCTCGAGCCACCGCGCCCGGCCTCCTTTTTTTTTTTTTTTTTTGTATTTTTCATCGAGGCAGGGTTTCGCCATGTTGTTCAGGCTGGTCTCCAACTCCTGACCTCAAGTGATCCGCCTGCCTCGGCTTCCTAAAGTGCTGGGATTACAAGCCTGAGCCACCGTGCCCAGCCTCCACATTTAACCTTTCAAGGAACCAGACTGTTTGAAAGGGGCTGCAGGCTCCCAACAGCACCACACTCTGTCCAGATTCACTGAGGCACCCCCCTGCATGACCCCCAGTTCTCCCTACTCAGAGGAGCACCTTAAAACTAGCTGGCCTAAAAGTCAGGTGCGATGGCTCACGACTGTAATCCCAGGACTTTGGGAGGCCGAGGTGGGCGGATCACGAGGTCAGGAGATCGAGACCATCCTGGCTAACATGGTGAAACCCTGTCTCTACTAAAAAAAATATAAAAATAGTAGCCGGGTGTGGTGGTGGGCACCTGTAGTCCCAGCTACTCCAGAGGCTGAGGCAGGAGAATTGCTTGAACCTGGGAGGTGGAGGTTGCAGTGAACCGCGATCGCACCATTGCACTCCAGCCTGGGAGACAGAGTGAGACACCATCTCAAAAAAAAAAAAAAAGAAGTATCACAATCAAGAGAGGATGGCAGGGAATGGCGAGGCACTCAGTGGTGAAACCGACAGGACTCGAACCCCACCTCCACTACTTTGCAGCTTTGTATTCTTGGATGAACCACGTGGCTTCTCCAAGCCTGCCTCTCATCATCCACAAAACAGGCCTGATTGCGACAATCTACTTGGTAGGGTGATTTTGAGGATTAAACACAGTAATACAAAACAAGTTACACTGTTTGCCAAGGACATTACAGATGAGGTTGCGTAGCCAATACCATGCCAGGAAACCAAAACTCACCTCAAGGAATCTGTTGCGGGCCGGGCGCGGTGGCTCACGCCTATAATCCCAGCACTTTGGGAGGCCGAGGCGGGCGGATCACGAGGTCAGAAGATCGAGACCATCCTGGCGAACACGGTGAAACCCCGTCCCTACTGAAAATGCAAAAAAAAAAAAAATTAGCCGGGCATGGTGGTGGGCGCCTGTAGTCCCAGCTTCTAGGGAGGCTGAGGCAGGAGAATGGCGTTAACCTGGGAGGCGGCGGAGCTTGCAGTGAGCAGAGATCGCGCCACTGCACTCCAGCCTGGGCGACAGAGCGAGACTGTCTCAAAAAAAAAAAAAAAAGAAATCTGTTGGGTGGGCCGGGCACGGAGGTTTACGCCTGTAATCCCAGGACTTTGGGAGGCCAAGGCAGGTGGATCACCAGGTCAGGAGTTACAGACCAGCCTGGCCAACATGGTGAAGCCCCATCTCTACTAAAAATACAAAAAATTAGCCAGCTGGGCGTGGTGGCATGTGCCTGTAATCCCAGCTATTCGGGAGCTTGAGGCAGAATTGCTTTAACTCAGGAGGCAGAGGTTGCAGTGACCCGAGATTGCGCCAATGCACTCCAGCCTGGATGATAGAGTGAGACTCTGTCTTGGGGGGAAAAAAAAAGAAAGAAATCTGTTGGGTAGCTAGGCGTGGTGGCTCATACCTGTAATCCCAGCACTTTGGGACGTCAAGGCGGGAGGATCACTTGGGGCCAGGAATTTGAGACCAGCCTGGGAAACACAGTGAGACCCTGTCTTTACTAAATATAAAAGTAAAAAAATAGCTGAGCATGGTGGTGTGCACCTATAATCCTAGCTACTTGGGAGGCTGAGGTGGGAGGATTGCTAGAGCCCCGAAGGCTGAGGCTGCAGGGAGCCGAGATCACAGCACTGCACTCCAGCCTGGGCGACAGAGTGAGGCCTATCTCAGGAGATAAAAAGAAAAAGAAATCTGTCTTGTCCTAAAGCTGACAGGGGCAAAACCAGGATCTGAATCACGTGATTCTCGACAGGGTTTTGGCCAGTGCTGTGTGAACACTCACACAGATGGGGGATGCTGGGCAGCTTAAGCTCAGAAGGAACACTGAGTGAGGGACAGATGGGCTGGTCCAGCAGGGGACCCGCCCATTCAGCAGATGTCCCTGGGCACAGCTCACATGTCAGTTCTCTGCAAAGTGCACAAGATGCTGAGAAGTGTCAGAGCCTGCTAATGAGGGCTGGGCGAGGGAGACGGATAGAAGCAGAAGCGAACTTGCCTGGGTTGGAGGAAGGGGATGGTGCAACGAAACCCCGAGGCCGAAAGCCTGGGTGCTAGAACCAACAGGGGTGGGGGCAGGGGCTAAGGGCTCAGGGTTCAGGAAAATGAGGCAGCTCTCCTAGTTTTACTGGGGAAAGGAAAACAAGGCAGGAATTTCTGGCAGAGAAACCTGGCTACTCAGTGGGACTCTTAAAGATGCCCCTTTTTCCTCTATCCTTGAGTGCAGCCTCAAGATGGGCCCTGCTGGTCCATCCTAGGGTGACAGGTGTAGCCAAATTCCCCTTCAATCAGAGTCCATTTGGAAAGCTCCAGTGGGTTACCCAAGGGCAGATACCAAGCAAGTCCCTAAAAATGGAGGCCAGTGTGCCCTAGAGGCCAAGTATAAATATGGAGAAATCTGAGCCGGGCACAGTGGCTCACACCTGCAATCCCAGTACTTTGGGAAGCCAAGGGCGGATCACCTGAGGAGTTCGAGACCAGCCTGGGCGACACGGTGAAATCCCGTCTCAACTAAAAATACAAAATTAGTTTGGTGTGGTGGTGGGCGCCTGTGATCCCAGCTACTCGGGAGGCTAGGGTGGGAGAATCACTTGAACCCGGGAGGTGGAGGTTGCAGTGAGCTGAGATCACACCATTGCATTCCAGATTGGGCAAAAACAGCAAAATTCCATCTCAAAAATAATAATAAAAAATATGTGGGGAACTCAGATTGGGGTTCCCCTCACTTTTGCCTCTTCCACTGAGTTAAAGTGTCAAGGAAAGGGGTTCCCAGGACAAAACTTTCAGGAGTATTCGGTTTTAGGGGTTACAGGCAGAGAGGCAGGACCCTAGAGGGATTTTTTTTTTTTTTGAGGCGGAGTCTCGCTCTGTCGCTCAGGCTGGAGTGCAGTGGTGTAATCTCGGCTCACTGCAAGTTCTGCCTCCCGGGTTCATGCCATTCTCCTGCCTCAGCCTCCCCAGTAGCTGGGACTACAGGCGTCCGCCACCACGCCCGGCTAATTTTTTTTTATTTTTAGTAGAGACGGGGTTTCACCATGGTCTCGATTTCCTGACCTCGTGATCCACCTGCCTTGGCCTCCCAAAGTGCTGGGATTACAGGAGTGAGCCACTGTGCCCAGCCCCTAGAGGGATTTAGGAGGTGGGTGGAACCACAAAGGAAAAGTCAGCCGCTAGTGGGGTCTCAGCTTGGAGGACGACAGGAAGTGAAGTGTCACTTAAGGTACAGTTTAGGATAGAGCAAGGGATGAGGAAGTCCGCCTGGAGTTTGGTAGGAGTGGGTGACCTCAGGTAGCCCACTGTTTTGAGAAACCTGGCTGGGGAGGTTGGAGACATGGCTGTGACTTGAGACTAGTGCTTTTTTTGCTTTTGGGGACTGAGTTCCACTCTTGTTTCCCAGGCTGGAGTGCAATAGCACGGTCTCGGCTTACTGCAACTTCTACCTCCCAGGTTCAAGGGATTCTCCTGCCTCAGCCTCCCAAGTAGATGGAATTACAGGCACCTGCCATCATGCCCAGCAAATTTTTGTATTTTTAGTAGAGAAGGGGTTTCACCATGTTGGCCAGGCTGGTCTGGAACTCCTGACCTCAGGTGGTCCGCCTGCCTCGGCCTCCTAAAGTGCTGGGATTACAGGCATGAACCACCTCACTGGGCAAGACTAGTGTTTTTGATTGTTTGTTTTGAGATGGAATCTTGCTCTGTCCGCTCACTGCAACATTTGCCTCCCAGGTTCAAGCAATTCTCTTGCTTCAGCCTCCGGAGTAGCTGGGACCACAGCTGTGTGCCATCACGCCCAGCTAACAGAGATAAGGTCTTACCATGTTGCCCATGCTGGTCTTGAACTCCTGGGTTTAGGAGATCCTTCCACCTCGGCCTCCCAAAGTGCTGAAATTACAGGTGTGAGCCACTGTGCCCGTCCTGGAGTGAAAGGCTTTGGACTTGAATGCCATCTCTGCTACTTTAGAGCTGTGTGTGCATGTACTTTTAACCTCTCTGTGTCCCCCCTCTCAAAACGGGCCCAATAGCAGGTTCCATTTTGGTCTGGTCCCACCAGGACCTCTGACTCACTAGTGACCTGAGGTAGGGGCTCATGTAATAGCCCAGCTCCTCAAACACGGAGGATGGGTCCCACTCCTGACCCAGTCTCAGTTTACATCAGAGCCTAAAGGTGGAGACTAGAGGCTGCACCAGGCTGGGGAAGGGGCAAATTCTAGATGACTCACCAGGCCGGTACCCATGAGAGCCCTCAGGCCTCAGCACTGTGGATCCAGAGGCGGAGACAGCTTTGCAGGAGGGTGCAAGCAATTCCTCCCTGCTTCCCACTGCAGAAAAGCCACTTTCTCGTGGCAGAGCCCAGACTGGCAACCCCCAGGCCTTCTGCACCTCACCTGGGCAGCAGGTGCGCTGGCTGTGTTTCAATCTCTCCAGGCTCAGGAGGATGGCGGGGGATGCTGCAGGCACGGTTGCTAGCAGCGGACATAGCTGCCTGGCTGACACTGCCTTTGTTATGCTCCAAAGCACTCAGCCAGCCCGGGCCCCCCACCCACTCCCTCTCTCCCCAAGCCACCAGAAGCAGCCTCTTCCCGGCTCCCGCCCTTCCTCCTCGAAGCCACTTGTACCTGCTCCAGAGCCTGGAGAGGTGACAAGTGCTTCCCAGACAACAAAAGCATCTCCCAGGAGAACAGATGTCACGAAGACTCAGCTACACCCTTGCTCTGTGCCCTGATTTTAGGCTGCGTTCAGGCAGCTATTTGGGATGAAACTGAGGCATGGGGTAAAGGGCCTGTCTTGGTCAAGGTCATCCCACCTGGGGACTCCTGGGTGTGTTTCAGACATCTGTCCCCTTGGGTTCCAATGCTGGTCTGGCCATTTCCAAGCTGTGTGACCTTGGGCACATTATTTTACCTCCCTGAGCCTAATTTTCCCCCAGATAATGATAGACAGGTAGTGAACCCACCTCTTGCTAAAAAATGTGAGCCATTATTGTCATTATCCCATCCTTTTAATTCCTCTTTCTCTCCAATCCAGCCACATCAGCCTCAATGTCTGCTGCCCCTGGACCTTAGGCCTGCGATGTGAAATCTTTCTGGAATGTTCCTTCGTTAGTTCTTCGCATGGCTTGCTCCCTCGCTTCCTTCCTTTGAGTGTTGACTCAAGTCACCTCCCCAGCGAGGCCCTACCCTGTCTTCCCTGGGCGCTCATGTGACATCCGAGGCGGTTTCCCAATTCGACTGGTGGCCCTTGCGCCTGAACGTAAGCCCCACGAGGACAGGGCTGTTTCATTTCTGACTCCCGTGTCCCCAGCGTTGGAAAGAATGACTGCGGGCGCCGACGCCAGGAGGGTGCTGTCTGCGCCCCGTCGGGCGGCTCCCAGCGCGCGCCCTCGAGGTCACGTCCGGGGCGCGCCGGCCGGAAGGAGGCCCCGCGTGGGTGTAGGGGCGGGGCGTCCGGGCCAGACCACGCCCCCCGGCCTCAAGCCCCCGCAGTCAGTGGCGGAGCCAGCCCGGCTGGGGCCGCCTCGCACTTCCGCTCCCTAGCCGGCTTATTCATATTCATGAGGGGGGCGAGAGGCGGGGCCCGGGTCACCGGCGGCCCCCGCCCCCGGCCTGGAATCCCGCCCCGGCGGAGGCTTGGGCCCCAGTGGGGCGCCCTCGGCTTCCGCCTCGGGGAGGGAGTTTCCACTTGGTCACGACTCAAAAATGTGTCGCTCCCGCTTCTCCGCCCCCTTGTCCCTGCCCTGGGGGGGTCTCCTCCTTCGGAAGGCAGGAGGGCAGGAGGGGCGGGGCCAGGGGAAGGACGGCTCCTCCCGCCCCGGGCAGGTCCTCAGGGATCCCGGGCGGACCCCTTTCCCTCCAAGTTAGCGCCTGCAATAATCTTTATTTTTTTCCCCGGAGACAGAGTCTTCCTCTGTCGCCCAGAGCCTGAGTGCAACGGCGCGATCTTGGTTCACTGCAGCCTCCGCCTCTGGGGTTCAAGCGATTCTCCTCCCTCAGCCTCCCGAGTAGCAGGGATCACAGGCGCGCGCCAACATGCCCGGCTAATTTTTGTATTTTTAGTAGAGATGGGGTTTCACCATGTTGGTCAGGCTGGTTTTGAACTCCTGACTTCGTGATCCGCCCGCCTCGGCCTCCCAAAGTGCTGGGATTACAGACGTCAGACACCGTGCCCGGTCCTGCAATAATCTTAATTTTTTTTTTTTTTTTTTTTTTTTTTTTTTTTTTTTTTTTTGAGTTGGAGTCTCGCTCTGTTGCCCAGGCTGGAGTATAGTGGCTCCATCTCAGCCCACCACGACCTCCGCCTCTGGGTACAAGCGATTCTCCTGCCTCAGCCTCCCGAGTAGCTGGGACTACAGGCGCGTACCACCGTGCCCAGCTAATTTTTGTATTTTTAGTAGAGACGGGATTTCACTATGTTGGCAAGGCTGGTCTCGAACTCCTGACCTCGTGATCTGCCCGCCTCGGCCTCCCAAAGTGCTGGGATTTACAGGCGTGAGCCACTGCTCCTGGCCAATAATCCTCATCTTTTAAACATAATAATAGCTCTAACTTCCTGAACGTTTATTCTGCATCAGGAACTGTGCCCCTCATATAAAACTACCTCTTTTATTTTTATATTATTTATTTATTTATTTTTTGAGATGGAGTTTCAGTCTTGTTGCTCAGGCTGGAGTGCAATGTCGCGATCTTGGCCCATCGCAACCTCTGCCTCCCAGGTTCAAGCGATTCTACTTGGGATTACAAGTACCTGGGATTGCCGGGCGCGGTGGCTCAAGCCTGTAATCCCAGCACTTTGGGAGGCCGAGATGGGCAGATCACGAGGTCAGGAGATCGAGACCATCCTGGCGAACACGGTGAAACCCCGTCTCTACTAAAAAATACAAAAAACTAGCGGGACGAGGTGGCGGACGTCTGTAGTCCCAGCTACTCGGGAGGCTGAGGCAGGAGAATGGCGTAAACCCGGGAGGTGGAGCTTGCAGTGAGCTGAGATCCCACCACAGCACTCCAGCCTGGGTGACAGAGCCAGACTCCGTCTCAAAAAAAAAAAAAAAAAAAAAACAAGTACCTGGGATTACAGGCATGCGCCACCACACCCAGCTAATTTTGTATTTTTAGTAGAGACGGGGTTTTTCCATTTTGGTTAGGCTAGTCTCCAACTCCTGATCTCAGGTGATCTGCCTGCCTCAGCCTCCCAAAATGTTGGGATTACAGGCGTGCGCCACCGTGACCAGCTTTTTTTTTTGAGACTGGGTCTCACTCCGTCCCCCAGGCTGGAGTTCAGTGGCACAATCTCGGCTCACTGCAGCTTCCATCTCCTGGGTTCAAGCAATCCTCCCGCCTCAGCTGTCCAAGTAGCTGTGACTACAGGCATGCACCACCACAACCAGCTAATTTTTAAATTTCTTGTAGAGATAGAGAACAGGGTCTCAGTGTGTTGCCCAGGCTGGTCTCGAACTCCTGGGTTCAAGCAATCCTTCTGCCTTGGCCTCCCAAAGTGCTGGAACTATAGGCATGAGCTACTGTGCCCACCAAAACTACCTCTTTTACTTTTTATTGATTTATTTTGCAATGGAGTCTCGCTCTGTCACCCAGGCTGGAGTTCAGTGGTACAATTCAGCTCACTGCAACCTCTGCCTCCTGGTTTGAAGCGATTCTCATGCCTCAGCCTCCTGAATAGCTGGGATTACAGGCACGTGCCACCATGCCCAGCTAATTTTTGTATTTTTAGTAGAAACCGGGTCTCACGATGTTGGCCAGGCTGGTCTCGAACTCCTGACCCCAAGGGATCTACCTGCCTTGGCCTCCCAAAGTGCTGTGATTACAGGGATGAGCCACAGGGCCCGGCCCAAAACTACCTCTTTTAAACTTCCCAAGGATCTGTGCAATATTATGATACCAAGAAGCTCAGAGCCGTTGAGTGACTCACCCACATCACACAGCAGGCTTCGGGTTTTCCAGAAAGGTTGGTCCTGCTGGGTTGGGGGGGGCAGGTGCATGTCTCCCACCACCTTTCAGGAAATGAGGCTTACCTAAGGCACTCCTGTCTTGCTGGATGTAGCTGAGGGTTGGGTGTGCGGGCCCTGATGGGAGGGAGAAGCTACGTGCTAGGAGAAACGAAACCACGAAGGCAGGACACGCTACGGAATTTAAAATGAAAATTTGTGGGCCATGTTCTAAAATGATTAAGAATTTCAAGATGGTGACAGCAGAACATTCAACCACAGTCAGGCCCTTCTAAGGGCCAACCCTGTGCAACTGCATAGCTCACATGGCTTCCATGAAGCAAGCCTCTGATGAAGGAGCCCAAGGGTAACAGCGCTACCACCAGGGACATCCCCACCTCTGATATAACTCTCCTCACAGCCCAGGCGTCCCATCCTGTCCCTGCCCTGGGATGCAGGACCCAGTCTCTAGACTTCCAAAAGCTGAGCATTTCAGGTTTTGCAGGACAGGTTCTTGGAGAGTCAGGTGGGTCACCCTGGGAGTGTCTCACACCTGCAAGACCCAGTCGGGCCCCTGGGGCTGCACCTCCTGGGCATTTTCAGCTCTGGGCCCTGCGGGCAGGTGGCGCTGTGTTGTACATGCCAGGCCCAGCATGGCTTTGGTTCTGACTTGAACCCCTCCTTTCTCCCTGGGGCAGGGAATGAAGAGCAGCCAGGGCCGCTTCCCAGAATAAACACCCCACCCACAGACAGCCCCAGCTCTGTAGGCTCAACCAGCCAGCGCCAATGGAGAGAGACGCTCGCCAGGCCACAGGCTCAGGGTTGATAAGTCATCCTGATCTCACTCCCTCCATCACTCACGCCTTGTGCCTGGGCCCTGCTCGCTGTGGACTGCTTCATTCATAATAGCTACCATTTGTGGGGCTCTTTCTCCCAGCCACGTGCTGCTGGAAGCCCTTTCTGTGCACTTCCCACCGAGCCTCACAGAGGCCAGTGGTGATAGGTACCCCGAGGACTGCCATTTCATAGATGGGGAAACTGAGGCTCAGAGAGGTTAGAGGGCTTGGCCAAGGTCAAGGGCCAGAGTTCTGGATCTGCCACCATTTATCCATCCTGGTTCCTATCATCTCTCCTACATCTACAATGTAGGTCTCAAGGGTTACTTCTTCTTCTTCTTCTTTTTTTTTTTTTTTTTTTTTTTTTTTTAAAGAGATAGGTTCTCAGGGCCAGGCATGGTGCCTCACGCCTGTAATCCTAGCACTTTGGGAGGCTGAGGTGGGCGGATCACCTGAGGTCAGGAGTTACAGACCAGCCTGGCCAACATGGCAAAACCCCATCTCTACGAAAAATACAAAAATTAGGCAGATGTGGTGGCACAAGCCTGTAATCCCAGCTACTGAGGAGGCTGAGGGAGGAGAATCCCTTCAACCCGGGAGACAGAGGTTGCAGTGAGCCGAGATCATACCACTGCACTCCAGCCTGGGTGACAGAGCAAGACTCCATCTCAAAAAAGAAAGAGATGAGGCTGGGCGCGGTGGCTCAAGCCTGTAATCCCAGCACTTTGGGAGGCCGAGACGGGCGGATCACGAGGTCAGGAGATCGAGACCAACCTGGCTAACACGGTGAAACCCTGTCTCTACTAAAAATACAAAAAAAAAAAACTAGCCGGGCGAGGTGGCGGACGCCTGTAGTCCCAGTCACTTAGGAGGCTGAGGCAGGAGAATGGCGTAAACCCGGGAGGCAGAGGTTGCAGTGAGCTGAGATCCGGCCATTGCACTCCAGCCCGGGCAACAGAGCAAGACTCCGTCTCAAAAAAAAAAAAAAAAAAGGCCGGGCGCGGTGGCTCAAGCCTGTAATCCCAGCACTTTGGGAGGCCGAGATGGGCGGATCACGAGGTCAGGAGATCGAGACCATCCTGGCTAACACGGTGAAACCCTGTCTCTACTAAAAATACAAAAAAAAAAAACTAGCTGGGCGAGGTGGCGGGCGCCTGTAGTCCCAGCTACTCGGGAGGCTGAGGCAGGAGAATGGCGTGAACCCGGGAGGCGGAGCTTGCAGTGAGCTGAGATCCGGCCACTGCACTCCAGCCTGGGTCACAGAGCAAGACTCCATCTCCACACAAAAAAAAAAAAAAAAAAAAAGAAAGAGATAGGGTCTCAGCCGCGTATGGTGGCTCACGCCTGTTATGAGGCTAAGACAGGAGGATTGCTTGAGCCCAGAAGTTCAAAACTAGCCTGGGTAACATAGTGAGACCCCTGTCTCTACAGAAAATACGAAAATTAGGTGAGTGTGGTGGCACACACCTGTAGTCCCAGCTCCTTGGGAGGTGGAGGTGGCAGGATCACCTGAGCCTGGGATGTCGAGGCTGCAGTGAGCCGTGATCACACCACTGCACTCCAGCCTGGGCAACAGAGTGAGACCCTATCTCAAAAAAAGGAGAGCTTAATAATCTGTTGGATAAGAATGAATGGGAACCAGCCAGGCGCAGTGACTCACGCCTGTAATCCCAGCACTTTGGGAAGCCCAGGTGGGCGGATCATGAGGTCAGGAGTTCGAGACCAGCCTGGCCAACATGGTGAAACCCTGTTTCTACTAAAAATACGAAAATTTGCCGGGTGTGGTGGCGTATGTCTGTAATCCCAGCTACTCCGGAGGCTGAGGCAGGAGAACTGCTTAAACCTGGGAGGTGGAGATTGCAGTGAGCCGAGATCATGCCAATGCACTCCAGCCTGGTCGACAGAGCAAGACTCTGTCTCGAAAAAAAAAATGAATGGGAACCTAGGTGATGTTCAATAAATATTTATTGTTAAGGATTAGGGGACGAAGTTCAGCCCCCAAAGTGTCTCTATCAGCAATACTCAGGAAGCATTACAACATGCCAGGCCCTGGGCAGGACCTTGCAGGGGGAGAGACAAAGCAGACAGTGTCCCTCTCCTTGGGGATCCTACCATCTAATAG